GATATGCCTATGGTTTCTCAGATCTACAAGGATCTCAGCTGAACACTAAGGATATTCAAATCTGGATCAAAGCCCTTGTCACAAGCATGCTCACAAGTTGTATACCTATATAAAAGTAAAAGAAGCCTCATACAACATCTGAAAATCTCTAAAATCTTATGCATTAGAAATAACAAACCTAGTAATAAAATCTGATATATATACAAAAAGATTGAGGGAGTTTCACTTCCAAAAATGACAGGCTAAATAATTTAGACCACCCCTTCCAATGCAAATAGCTTAAAAAGCTAAAAATAATATTTTAAATAAAAATCTGGAAAACTAGCCTGGCTGGTATGACTCCATGGTTAAGCATCAACCTATGAACCAGGAGGTCATAGTTAGATTCCCAATCAGGGCACATGCCTAGGTTTTGGGCTCAGTCCCTGGGGGCGAGGTGGGTGGAGCATGGGGCAGCTGATCAATGATTCCCTCTCATCATTGATGCTTCTATCTCTCTCTCCCTCTCCCTTCCTCTCTGAAATATATATATTTAAGTGTAGAAAATTAAAAGAATCAAGACATATGAGACCAAATGCAAGATAAAAAAGAAACTAAGAGAGGTCGGCCGGTCCGTATTTTAGGGCCACTTTCTCCCTGAAAAAACAGCCCATTTCAGAAAAGGCAACTGAGACACTGAGAAGCTGAACAGTTTTTAACAGATGTGTGGGATCAAAAGCGAAAAACTGAAGTTGAGAACCTTCCCAAGGAAGGGAGTCCCTGGTCAAACTCCCTAGCCTGTGGGTTGGAATCCTGCTTGAAGGACAATACACTAACAGTAAGGATGAATCAGAAATGGTTAAAACCTGGCACTGAAGTTTAACTTTGAAATATCTCAACAATTAACAATAAGGTAATCCATGATTGCCATGGTCTCTAATTTATAACAAAAAGCAAATATGTCCTCTCATTCATAATAATTATCAAATTATCTAAGCAACTTCTCATTTGCAGAGAATGAAAGAGATTTTCTGTCATCAACAGAAGATCCCATTAAGAAAGTTTTAAAAAATGAGTAGAAACAGTTGTAGAATGGGAAACAATCTTAGCAATATATACAATTGACAAAGTGCTCATATATAAGATATATAAAGGCCTCACCCAAATCAGTAATAAAATGGCAAGAAACTCAATAAAAGAGTGGGCAAAAAGCAAACTGGCACTTCAAAAAAGAAAATAGCCAATAGCCAACAAACAAACAAACAAAACAAAAATACTCATTATCATTAGTAATCATGAAAATGTAAATTAAAGCCATAATGAGATACCATAAACACTCAACATAATGGCTATAACTGAAAGACTCAGTAGTATCAGTGTTGGAAAGGATGAACAACACAAATCCTCACACACTGATGGTAAGTGTGTAAATTAATGCAGCCACTTTGAAAGCCTGCTTTTCAGGACCTAGTAAATTGGAAGGCAGCTAGCAAGTGCACTGCATGTTACATTCCAACAGAAATGAACGCACAGGTGTTCTAAAATAATAAAATCAGTCACTGCAGCATTATTCATAGCAGCCCAAAATTTGAAATAATTCCAATATCCATGACAAAATATTACAATATATTACAGTATATTCATACAATGGAATACTAAAGAGCAATAAAAATGAACTAACTGCAAGTACAGGGCACAACACCCAAAAATATCACAATCATAATGTTTAGCAAAAAAAGTCAAACATCCAAAACAGCATGTCGTGAATGACTGCATTTATATGAAGTCCAAAAGAGACAAAATTAAGCTAAAGGGTTAAAAGTTAAACTAAGGGTCATGTTTAAAAAGGAAGGAGTTAGTGACAGGGAGGGGAAATAAAGCAGCCTTGTGTGTCCTGGTGATATCTAGTTCTATATCTGAGTAGTGGTTACATGGGCAAATTCACCTTGAAATAATTAATCCAGCTTCACATTGACACACACACACACACACACACACACACACACACACACACACATATATATATATATTTCTGTATGTGCATTCTGTATGTGCAACATACCCCGCTTGCAGGCTCAAACCCCAATGTGGGGCAAACAGGAAGCAGCCAATTGATGATTCCTTCTCATCATTGATGTTTCTATCTCTCTTTCCCTCTCCCTTCCTCTCTAAAATAAATAAAAATATATTTAAAAAGAAAAAAAGACACAAAGCTTCAGCAGCTTCCTTTGTCAAGTGACAGGTCCCACACTGGAGTTTATGAGAGGAGAGGACCATTGAAGAAGGTATAGAGGACCTTAGAGCTCCTTCTTATTAGTGTGCATTTCAGCTCCTAGGGAGAGAATGTAAGCCAGAGAATGCATAAATGCCTTTTTGTGTGAACCACTGCAATTAAGAAAGACACCAATCTCAAAACAGATTTTTTTTAAGTATATGATATTTTTGCTATTTTAGACAGGTACAGTGTAAACTAAATGGTGCCCTGGGTGTGCCCGGGAGAATCTAGGACTTTATGTAAAAAATTAAGTATCCCATGTCCTGACCACACATCAGTGCCACACCACCATGTAACAGCTGCAAAGATTTGTCAACTGCAACAGAAGACCGACATTGTATCTTCACCTCTCTGGGGCACTTCACAAAGAAATTAGCACCAAACACTCAGGCAGGTGGCGCTTTTATGTGGTCAGGTGCTTATTCTTGTTTTTTAAAGGGGCAGTAACTGAGTTGATCTCTGAAAATATAGCATATTCATCTCTTAGCAGATGCAGCCAATAAATTCAAACTCCAAAATAAACAACATATCTATCTGAGGAACTGTAAACACAGTTAACATCTGGAGAAAAGTTAACTGCTTTTACTAGAAAACATCCAGATATGCTAAAAAAAAAAAAAAAAAAATTCTGCTAACTTTACTTGTCTTGGAAAGACAAAAGGTATTGTAGGAAATGAAAGAGTACATATTATTTCTAAGGTTGAGAAATTTGCAAGAGTTTAGTGACAATTTCTATTGTTATTTTTCTTCTAAAAAAAAAAAAAACAGAAATGATGCAAAGAAACAGACACTGTATGGTCTTAAAATGTAACCTTAATTCCACCAAGAATAGTGATTTGATAAAAAGAAATCTCTGCATAGAGAGTATGTACAATCTGAGTTTGAGATAACAAAACTTAAGAATAAGGGGTATTTTCAATCAGTACTACCTAAAACAAGAACAGATAGCAAGGAAGTCTCTGTAGAAATTGTGTGCACACTTATGTAAGACTAGAGGCCCAGTGCACGAAATTTGTGCACAGGGTGGGTATCCCTCAGCCCAGCCTGCATACTCTCCAATCTGGACCCCTGAGGGATATTCGACCACCAGGATTGGGCCTAAACGGGCGGGTGTACATCCCTCTCACAATTCAGGACTGCTGGCTCCCAACTGAACACTGCCTCTCTCTGATTGCCCCTAACCACTTCTGCCTGCAAGCCTGAACACCCCCTAACCCCTCCCCAACCAGCCTGATCGAATCCTAATTGCTCCCCAGCTGGCCTGATTGCCCCTAACTGCCCTCCCCTACCGTCCTGATCACCCCTAACTGCCCTCCCCTGCAGGCCTGGTCACCCCCAACTACCCTCCCTGCAGGCCTGGTCCCCTCCCCAACTGCCCTCCCCTGCAGGCCAGGTCAACTGTCCTCTTCTACATGCCTGGGTCCCCCCAACTACCCTCCCCTGCAGGCCTGGTCACCCCCCCCCCAAATGCCCTCCCCTGATGACCTGGTCCCCTCAAGTGCCTTCCTCTGCAGTCCTGGTCCCCCCCAATTGCCCTCCCTTGTTAGCCTGGTCTCCCCCAACTGCCCTCCTCTGCTGGCCCGGTCACCCTTAACTGCCTTCCCTGCTGGCTTAATTGCCTGGTCCCCTCAACTGCCCTCCCCTGCATATCTGGTCCCCCACAACTGCCCTCCCCTGCAGGCCTGGTCCCCCAATTGCTCTTCCCTATAGGCCTTCCCCCCCCAACTGCCTTCCCCTGCAGTCCTGGTCCCCCCAATAACCCTCCCCTGCTGACCTGGTCTCCCCTAACTGACTTCTCTGATGGCCCAGTCACCCCTAACTGCCCTCCCTGCTTGCCTGATTGCCCACAACTGCCCTCCCCTGCAAACCTGGATCCCCCCACAACTATCCTCCCCTGCAGGCCTGGGTCCCCCAAACTGTCCTCCCCTGCATGCCTGGTACCCCCCCACTGCTCTCCCTGCTGGCCTGGTCCTCCCAGCTGCTCTCCCCTACAGGCATGCCCCCCAACTGCCTTCCCCTGAAGTCCTGATACCCCCAACTGACCTCCTCTGCCAGCCCAGTCACTCCTAACTGCTCTCCCTGCTTGCCTGCAGGCCTGATACCCCCCAACTGCCCTCGCCTGCAGGCCTGGTCCTCCCCAAATGTCCTACCCTACTGGCCTGGTTGGCCCCAACTGCCCTCCCCTGCTAGCTTGGTCACCCTAACTGCCCTCTTCTTCTGGCCTGGTAACCCCTAACTGCCCACAACTGCCCTTCCCTGCCAGCCATCTTGTGATGGCCATCTTGTGTACACATGAGGGCAGCCATCTTTGACCACATGGGGGTGGCCATCTTGTATCTTGGAGTGACAGTCAATTTGCATATTACTATTTTATTAGATAGAAATAAAATATTTAATAGGAGCTCTATAGAGCCACTTCTCAAAATTCTGTGTTTCTCAAATATCATTTAACAAGAGCTACAGAAGCATCACTGATCAATATAATTTAAAATTCATAATAAAACTCTAACAATTAAAACAAATGATAATTCTGTCCCCAATATACAACCATGTAAATATTTCAAACTTAAATACTGAAAATTTATAAACATTTTACAAGAGCTATAAAATATATTATGAAACAAAATGGCATACACCACTAAAAAAGTTAAAATTTACTGAACTTCACTGTGAATACAATGAACCCAGCCACCCTCTCTACCATCTGCATATGAAATAAAACTTTTTATAAACAAAGAGTTCTCACCACTTCTTGTTTTTGGGTTTCACTCAGTTTTTCAGTCAATCTTTCCAAAGCCCTTTTTGTTTCAGCATCCGACCTAAGCAACAAAGAAAAATATTTTAAGTTGGCTTAAGATATATACAATTGAGAAAATATATACAATTAATAAAATTTATAAAATAATGTTATTACATAATATTCTACTGCAGTGGTTCTCAATTGTTAGCAAACATATGAGACACCTGGAGGTCTAAAAACAAAGAGCGATGAGCCCAATTCCCAAAATTTCTGAATAAGTAGTTCTCAGATGGAGTCCAAGAATGTGCATTTCTACAAATTCCTAGGTGATGTCAATGCTTGCTGGTCTAGGAAGAACATTTTGAGAAATACTGCTATACTGGAACATCATCTTTAATAACTAAGCTGTAATATCTTCCATTTTAAATTAAGAAGAAAGAAAGGGAGGGAGGAACAAAACTCTTAATCTCACATCCTCTACAGCAATTTATAATCCAATTACATAAAAGTGTGCTGTACAAACTCATTAACTTATCTCCCATTACCTTTTTCCCATCGAATCAATAATGTAAATACAGGATCATTAATAAAATAGTACAGAAAGACTTACAAAGGAAAGCAAAGGCATTCCTCTCTCACAGTTCCTCATATTTAGTTCACGCCCCACTAGCAACCATGCTTGATCATTTCCATTCTTAATTCTTTTGTTGATTACTTCCATCATTTCCAATTCTAGACATTTTCAATTGACTCCTTGTTTTGAAATATTTAGTTCACTCACATTGCTCTCCAAATTTGGATGAATGTATTGCTATTTTTAGTTCTTCTATTGGTTATCTGTGTGCCTTGCATAATGTGCATAAACCTCTCATTAATATTCCATCATAGAGAATTGATGTTCTTTAGTTACTTTCTTTCATGCTCACATTTAGTCAGCTTACTTGGATCATTAATTTTCTTGTGCTTTTGTTTTTTGCTGGAGTTTTTCATCTTTTGGCCTTATATGGACCTTATTTATCACATCATTGATATTTTCTCCCACTTGTTACTGAATCATTTATTAAGAATTGACTCCACTCACCTTCATTATTCTCAAGGACAGTTCCTCTGCTCTTATCCAGAGTGAACAGTTCCCAAGCCTGCTATGTGGCTATCATTCTGGGGATTATTTTCACTAAATTTCTTAGTTTTACTATTTTTTATAACCTATACCTTACTCTTTCTTGGTTACCATCTATTTTACTTATATGTCCTTAGGTAATTTCATTGGAAGGAAGTTACCTTAAAAGATAAATTTTCTAAGTCTATATCTCTGAAAATGTCTTTCCTTATACCTCTTTCTTGGCTTTTATGGTTCCATGTGCTCCTGGAATTCCCCCGTCTCATAGTTGTTGCTTCCAGTTCCTCTATGTACATGACTTCCCAGGATTGCAATGCCTTTGCATTTACCCCTGTCCTTGATGCTCTCAATACCATTTCTCCCTAAATATCCTCCATTTCCATGGTTCCAAATGCCACTTCTATGCTGACCACTCTTAAAACCTCTAAAAGGGACTTCTCCTTTGAGCTCCAAAGTAAATACCTAGCTGAGTATTTTAATTTTCTATTTGGATGTCTTACAGGGATCTTAAACCTAATATATCCAAGGTCAAAACTTAATTTCTACACCTCACCTATTTCCAGTCTTCCATATTTCAAAAGTGCCATTACCATCTACCCAGTTATTCAAGCCAGAAATCTTGGAGTCATCTTGGATTTATTCTCCTTTATCCCTCCACATATAACCCACTGCTAAATCCTACCTCTTCAATATGAAAAAAGAAAAAAAAAAAAAAAAAAAAAAACGTGATAACACACTCCTGTCCAACTGCTCCCTGGTCAAGCCACCATCAACTCTCAAATATTAATACAGAAGTTGTCTAACTCACCCTCCTCAAATCAGTTCTCCATATAGCATCTAAATGTAACCTTACTTAACCCTTTTAAAAAGCTTGCTTTCCAGTGTTCTTTTTATAATAAATGTCAAGACAAAATAAAAATGAATAATTAAATGAACATATCAGCCTTTCTGAATCAGACAGAAAATTAAACCTAGCATCTGCCTACACAGGATCCTATCTAATAAAAGAATAATATGTAAATTGACCATCACTCCAACACACAAGATGCTGCCCCCATGTGGTCAAAGATGGCTGCCCTATGAAAACACAAGATGGCTGCCAAAGATGGCCAGCAGGGGAGAACAGTTGCGGGTGATCAGGACTGCAGGGAAGGGAAGTTGGGAGGGACCAGGTCTGCAAGGAAGGGCAGTTGGGGGCAATCTGGCCTGCAGGGGAGAGAATTTAGGGGTGACCAGGCTGGCAGAGGATGGCAGTTGTGGGTGACCAGGTCTGCAGGGGAGGACAGTTGGAGGGGACCCAGACCTGGTTGGAGGGCAGTGGGGAGAAGGGGAGGAGAAACAGGCCTGAAGGGAAGGGTAGTTGGGAGTGACCAGGCCTGCAGGGGAGGGCAATAGGGGAGGACCAGACCAGCAAGGGAGAGCAATTAGGGGAATCCAAGCCAACAGGGGAAAGCAGTTAGAGGCTACTAAGCCTGCAGGGGAGGGCAGTTGGGGGCAACCAGGCCAGAAGGGGAGGACAATTGGGGATGATCAGGCCTGCAGGGGGAAATAGTTGGGAGCAACCAGGCCAGCAGGGGAGGGCAGTTAGGGGCAATTGGACTGGCTGGGAACAGTTAGGCATTGATCAGGCTGGCAGGGGAGTGATGAGGGAGTAATCAAGCTGGAGGCAGAAGTGATTAGGGGCAATCTGGCAGGCAGGCAACCAGTTGAAAGCCAGCAGTCCTGGATTGTTAGAGATGTCCCAGATTGGAGACAGTGTAGGCTGGGCTGAGGGACACCTCCCCGCCCCATCTCCCCCACCCCCCGCAATACACGAATTTCATGCACCAGGCCTCTAGTATTTTTATAAATCTGTGGTACAAGTAAAGCAGAATTGGATCCTAAAAATCTTCCTCGTCCACAAAGTTAAGCCACCAAGTTTCACCAGAAAGTTGACTCCTATTTTAGTTTAAATAAAGTTTCTCTTCCTCACACATACCTCTTGAAATAATTAATGGGAGTCACACAAACTGTTATTAAATGGTACCAGCCCATAAGTCAGCAGATTTTCAGTCCCCACTGGACATCCAAATGTCCATTTAAACTAACCAAATTTTAAATTAAGAAGAAAGAAAGGGAGGGAGGAACAAAACTGCAACTCCCCCTGTGTCTTCTTGCAATGGTCAACAACCTGTGGTCCGTGGACCACTAGTGGTTTGTGATGTCCAAAAGGTTGGTAAGCACTGGTTTAAGGAAACCTTTGGAGCAGTGGTCGTCAAGCGGTGGTCTGCAGACCACTATTGATCCATAAGATCCGGAAGGTTGGCAACTGCTGTCTTACAGGACAACTACTTCCTAAACTCATATTCCTGTGCTTAATTTATACCCTTCCTTCAAATGTGTAAAAGGAACATGATTGGGACTAGCACTGGGCGCCAATAGTGGGTGTGAGCAGCAGCTCTAGCACCAGCTGCGGGTGCAAGCAGGGCCAGCCCTAGCAGCAGGTGCTAGTACCCAGTAGGACCATGGCGCACGGGAGCAAAGAATTTTCAGTAACCACCAGAGGCTCACCCCAATGACAGCAACCAGCCTTGGTCTGGCACGCCCACTTACCTGTTCCACCATCCCACTACAGCCAATGCCCGCCATGTTCTGCACTCAGCTTGCTGCAAATGCCTGCCATGTTCTGCACGCACCCCCTGGTGATCAGCGCACATCATAGCAACCAGTTGTTCAGTTGTTCCACTGTTTGGACTATTTGCATATTAGGGTTTTATATAGAAAGACTAGAAGCCCAGTGCACAGATTCGTGCACCAGTGAGATCCCTCAGCCTGATGTGCAGGGATCAGGACAAAACCAGCTCTCTGGCATCCCCCTAGGGATCCCAGATTGCGATGGGGCGCAGGCCAGGCCCAGGGACCCCCACTTTGTGTAACAGGCATCTAGTAGTTGATATTCATAGATTTAACAGTTATAGTTTTGACTCTTTTTGCTCTCACAACATCAAATTGGTGTGTGGAATGATTTCATTAGATGGAATGGGAGTTAGCAAGTGAACTTGGTAAACAAACTTCAATTCAGCTTTGTTATAACCTAATCATTGTTATACAGATTGTAACTCTTGAGAAGGGATACAAAAATCTTTGTTTCTTGTGAAAAGATGGCCACCAAATGAAAATCAACTATCCCAGCTGATGATGAAAATGAAAAGAAAGTAAAGGAATTTTAAATAAACGGTACTCCTTGGGGACTATTCAGAATTGACAAGTTGCACAGACTAGGCAGATATAAACCAGTGGCTTTTAAAGATTTCAACTAAAAACTAAAATATCAAATTCTACAACAGGTCATGTCCATTGATCAACAAATCCACTTTATGCTTTTTATTTTATAGCTCCATTATCAGTCAGATGGTCTCTGTGTCTTTCGGTCTGTCTGTCTGTCTCCATCTCTCTCTCCTCAATGTATTTGTAAATCTACCTTTTTGATAAGGTTCTACATGCATGTGTCAGCATTCCATTGTAATAAGTTTAAATGTTTTTAAAATATAAAATTAATGTGTCTAACATTGAGTCATCATGATACATTTTAAATTCAAAAGGATTTGAACTGATTTAGTATAAATACACAGTTCAGTTTTTTAAATTCATGTAAACATGTAAATTCTAAAACCTATTTCATTCTTCAAATAAGTCATGCCTCCAGTGAAAACCATACTCTGCCTTTACCTGCATCTTCTGGCAAGCTCCCGGTTGAAATCATCTCCAAGGCGAACTTGTTCACTGCTGAGGTCTCGGAGGGACTGATGAAAAGCATGAAGCTAGGAAAGGCAGAACATAGTTATCCATTTAGAATTAGTTGAATCTTCCATGAAGACTTATTGAGGATAAAGAATAAGAACTTGTTCTTTGTAATAGGCCCAAATTTTATAATGTTATTAATACTGAATAAAATTTAATGTCTACTCTGGATGAAATAAAATATTCTTTCCAAAGAAAAGCAATTGTTAAAAAGCAATATGTAATATTAATCTTCACATCTTTATAATATAATAATTCCACTCCTTATAGGTACCTTAGAAAAGGGATCAGCAAACTTTTTCTGTAAAGGGTACAATAGCAAATATTTCAGGTTTTCAAGCTATAATGATCTCTGCCACAATTACTCAATTCTTCTATTATAGCACAAACCAATGAACAAGACTGTGCTATAACAGAACCTTATTCAAATAGACTACACCCTGCAGCGTGCCAACCCAAACTACAGAGAAACATGCCCATATGCACCAGGAACCATGTAAAAGAATGTTTGGAGCAACAATGCTCATAATGAGAACAGTGAAAACAAACCAAAAGTCCATTAAAAATAGAATTGGAAGAAATAAATTCCAATATATTCCTCCAGCCATGCATCCTACAGCAGTGAAAATGATCACACCTACCTACACATTAGTAAGACTGAATGTTAAAAACATAACATTGGATGGAAAAAGCAAGTTACAAAAGAAGGTCTACAGTATTATTCCATTGAGATAAATATGATGTAAGTAGTAAAAGTGATTTCTTTTTAAAAAGCAAGATAATGGTTAACATAAACATCAAGGTAGTTGATAACACATGGGGAAAGAAGGAATTAAAAAGAGGCTTTGGGGATATAACAATGATCTGTTTCTTGGCCTGGGTGATGGTTACATAGATTTTCATACTAGAGGCCCAGTGCATGAAATTTGTGCATGGAGTATGCCTGTGTGTGTGTGTCCCTCAGCCCAGCCTGCACCCTCTCCAATCTGGGATCCCTTGAGGGATGTCCGATTGCCCACTAGGATCGGGCCTAAATGAGCAGTCAGACATCAATCTCACAATCCAGGAAAGCTGCCTCTCAACTGGTTGCCTGCTTGCATGCCTGATATTCCCTAACCGCTTCTGCCTGCCAGCCTGATCACTCCCTAACCATTTCCTGCCAGCCTGATCAACACCTAACTGCCCTCCCCTGTAGGCCTGGTCACCCCTAACTGCCCTCCCTTGCAGGCCTGGTCCCTCCTAACTGCCCTCCCCTACTGGACTGATTGCCTACAACTGCCCTCCCCTGCCAGCCATCTTGTGGCAGTCATCTTGTGTCCACATGAGGGCAGCCATCTTTGACCACATGGGGGGTGGCCATCTTGTGTGTTGGAATGATGGTCAATTTACATATTACTCTTTTATTAGATAGGATTATTGTACTTTTAATCGCCAATATTTATCTATATATGTATGTGTATACTATAATTTATAAAAATTTTAAGTTATATATAGATTTGCAGAAATAATTTGATTTGTTTTAACAAATGAATGTTGAGCAACTAATCAGTGCCAACAATTGTGCTGAGAAACAAGTGGCTCACAATTTAACATGGAAGACAGATAAGTAAACAAAACCACAAAAATGTCACACGGGGGCATTAAGATGTACACAGTCATGTGGAACTAAAGATCATCTTAAGAGAATGGACTTAAAATAAGGAAGAACAATGAAAGTGAAAAGAATGGAGGTAATAAATACAGTGGATGAACAACAGACAATACACAGGTTTTACCATCATGATTTTCCCATTTTGGAAACCAGAATCCTAGGACTCATCTTTGACATCCCCATTTCACTAATTCCACCCTCCTCACATGGTCATCTGATCTTCAAGATCTTTCATTTTGTCCAGCAAATAGCTTTTAAATCTACCCCATTCTTTCCAACTCCATTTCTCCTATTCTAAGTGACCATCATCTCCACCCAGAATACAGCAATATCTCCCTAATTGTTTTGCCCACATTGACTCCATTTTCAACACTGGAGCCAAGACAATCTTTGCAAAATAGTTGTCACAATCTTACAAGGCTATAAATATTCTCAGTGCTTCATATATCTTTAGCCACGTGGTCTTCTTTAATTTACTCATAAACACTATCCTCCTTCCTGTCAAGGTATTTGTTCTACCTTAAATGACTCTTACTGAACCTTTGGATCTCAGCCCATCAGTCATTTGTTTTTTAAGAAGCCATCCATGACTGGGACAGGTACGACTAGTATAAATTCCTATAGCCTTATGCCTCTTTCCATTAGAACATGCATCTCTGCACATATTGTGGATGTACTTGTGTATTTATTTGATATCTAGCTCCCACTCTAGGTTATAAGTTCCAAGAAAATGCAATGTTTTTGCTCATCATTGTTTAAAAGCACAAGAAATTTCCCAGGACAGAGAACATAAACAAATAAAATGAAAGAGTATGTAAATGAGTAATGTTAGGAAATTATTCTCTGCTGTAAGTTTAAATATATCATTCATGCTAAAAAGTTATAACTACCAAAAAATAACATAGTGAAGGAAAAGTTTCTAGAAGATGTCTCCAAAAAATAACATAGTGAAGGAAAAGTTTCTACAAGATGTCTCCTAATGCACTTGGTTTTGTTATCTCTTTATCTTATGCAATAACAAGTGAAAGCTACAGATGAGTATGCTAACAAAATGGGAACCCTCAGTCCTAAAACAACCAAAACAAAGATGTCAAAGTCAGCAAAATCCCCAAGCCCCTATCTAATTAATGTAGCTAGCCAGGACAACAATAACAAAAATGTTTGTTCAGCTCTTGCAGAGAAATTTAAAGAAGCAGAAAAAGAAATATGTCCATAGAATGAATTCTTCTGAAATTGTAGTGAATACATAGAAAAAGTATGAAATTTCTTACTTAACAGAAAATGGCTACTTTGATGACTCAACAATCAGAAAAACACTAATTGAAAAATCAACAGGTTAACCACACAAGGACTAACTTGTTCATACTAAACCAAACATAGCAAAACAGAAAGTAGCTGACTTAGTAAGGCTTACAGAAGAGTGACCCAGCTGAACAAGGAAACAAAACATGTCCAAGTAAGCTCACTTTTAAATTATTCTACAAAATATAATCCTCCATAACAAAATTCTAGATAAATATATGATGATGATGATGATTAGTACATTGAAAATAAAATAGCTTACTTTATTTTTAAAAAATCAGTACAAAGTTAGTGGTGATGAAACTCTGATTCAAATGTAGTCACAGAATTCAAGTGTCAGTCATTTATATAGAAAGGTAAGGAATACGGAGTACAGAATGGTACAAAGTACCTGGCCCACGTTCTCAGTCTCCCGAACAAATCGGACACCAGCTCTGGATCTAATTCGTTTACTACCCTGTTGATCCCCATAGTCCTTGAGAGGTGAGGTAGGTGGAAAACGGTGGCTTTCTTTATGAATGAAAGAAAAAGAAAACGATAAAAATGCTGCATGAAGAGAAATGATCTAAAATTTTATCCATAAGTACATAGCAGATATGAACATACACATGTGCCCTTAGCGCAGACTATCCTCCAAGTATGTTACTATAGCCATAAAATTCCACAAAATTGGCACTAATCTTGCTCTTAAAGCTGATACAATGAGCAAAAATAAGCTGGAAATAAACTGTCAAAAGTTCTAATTTGCTATACTTTTCAAAGAAGTAATATATTTTCTCTTACACAAAAATAACTGCTAAATAAAAATAACTTTTATAGCCCCCTACTATACTACTATAACAGAATTTTTCAAATAACAAATTAATGAATCTAACATATAAATGGCATTTAAAAATCAATAAAAACTAACTACATAAAGAAGAATAGCTGATTGTATCCTATTTGTAATCCTTATTATCGGGATCAATAGCAGTATTAACAATGTGAGCGGCTGATGTGCACTCTACCTAAATCACCTCCCCTCACTGCAGACTTTTTTACTCTTTTCTAGCCTAAGTCTTGTTTATTCAAACATAAATCTCAGTACTGCAGAAAAGTACAAGTAAGATTAATTACAGACAGTGTTTTCACCTTTAATCCAGCCATTGAATTCTAGCTGCACGCCAAGAATAAAGATCACCTGTTCTTAACAAGTGTCATAAGATAGTTCATAATGAGAGATTTGAATAAAATATGTAAAAAGTTATAATTTGCTATATTTTTCAAAGAAGTAATATACTTTCATTCCTATGAAACTAGGATTCCTAACCCAGTAATCTACTAATATCACTAGATCCTATTTTAGTTTTGATTGATGGCAGATGCTTCAACCCTAATGTTGTCAGTTAAAGCTCTGCATGGTCTATGGAATCTGAGAACAACAAAAGCAGTACACTCACAAGAACAGAGTATTGTTAAACGTACTTTTTAATTTTCACTATACAACAGCTGACTGCTTCTTTAATACCTTATTTGTATAATTTTATGTATGGGTTGTAATTATCCAAAGATTAAATAGATTCACTATGCACTTGGAGGATATTTTTTAAATGAAAGGGATTTCAGAACTTCTGTAGAGTTTACCTGTCACTGTGCCACCATCAAGGTCACTTGCACTCAGACTTGTAACAGAAATACTTCTCCCTCCTGAGTTTCTCAATAAACGTTGATTCCGCAGTTGGCCTATTGACTGTTCCAAGCTTTCTTTTAACTAAGTTAAAGAATATAATGGAGATTTATTCTCTTTAAACAACTTGCAAATACAAATAGACTAGACATTTTAAAAGCTATTATTTTTCAAATATCTAGGTTCTGAAAGAGAATTTACATCAGAGAAAATTTCAAACTAAGTTATGTTAGGAAATATAAAAATAGTAAACATAACTATATTAAGAACCAATTCTAATATCAGGTTTTAAACAGCATTCTGTCATTACCTATTCCATATATTTATTACCAGAAAGGGAAAGAAATATCGAGTCCAGCTGGTATGGCTCAGCGGTTGAGGGTCAACCAAGAACCAAGAGG